ATCGAGTTGATTGATATGTCGTCGGTACACAGTTCAAGACTCTGCACAATGGAGTTAGGATGACAGTATTACTGATTTGTTCACTTCAATTCTCAAGGACGCATCACGAAGAGATCTCACATTCGAAAACGCATTGGAAACGGTTTTAATGTTTGAGTTCTTTATTATTCTGGCGCAGGTTTTGGATGCCCAGTCATTGGAACCTAATTACAGAAAGAAAAACGAGTAAGCATTTTTTTTTTATATATAGGAGTAAATCATTGCCGTCCTAAAAGCAGCCCCTTTTTTGGAAGGATAGCACAAGTTACGAAATTACTCGCAGACATTGTATAAAATAGTCATCTACATTCAACTACCTATGTGCAAATTTCAGGCTGTGAACCTCCAGTGACACCCTTTACCAGTTACCGTCACTATCCCTTCAACGGCACAAGATTTTTCAAGAGCACAAAACATGTTGGCAGTTTTTACTAAACGACCTGCACATGACTTGTTTATAGTGGTCATATCTTGTGCAGCACAGTGCACTCTCTCCATCAAAACTGCATCAACCGTAGCAGTGCAGAGTTTGCTACATGGCAGGTGTTGAAATAATCGTTGGTCTTAAATTAGAATTTTCCTTGGGAGATGTTCTAACAAGGACTAAGTGGTCTCGCTACCCTTGGCGTTTAAACACGCTGCCGGACACCAGCCTAGGTATATATATATATATATATATATATATGTGTGTGTGTGTGTGTGTGTGTGTGTGTGTGTGTGTGTGTGTGTGTGTGTGTGTGTGTGTGTGTGTGTGTGTGTGTGCAAAAGAAAGAAATATGACGTGGAATATGATAGGGAAGTTAGTTTAATCAAAGTATAAAAATGAAAATATGCCAAGAAAAATATAGTCAAACGCGCACCAAAGTATTTAAACATGTTTAATTGTAACATGGCCTTGGTGATCGAGGCTCTTCACATTTTCCTTTTATTTAATTAATGTGAATTGCAAGGTTTTCTTGGTAAGTATAATGGGGTGGTTTCCAATTTCCTATTTCCATCGCCACTGTTTTAAATTTGGAGGTGGATTTCAGGATTCAACCAAACGTAGTATTCAATCATAGAAGAACTGATAAGTATTAAATAGAATTATCCGAGATCTATCTATCTATCTATCTATCTATCTATCTATCTATCACAAACTGTCCAATTCTTTCTTTCTTCATTCTTATCTCAATATGTTCATATCTATCAATTTATCTCAAATAATCGATATCTATCGATCCATAGAGCGATCATGCCAAATTATTCATATATGTATAATATATGTGTGTGTATGTGTGTGCGCGCGTGAGTGTGTTAATATCTATCTATTTATCTATCTCAGCATGTTCATATCTATCTATCTAGCTATCTAGCTATCTATCTATTTCTACTTGTCTATCTATCGAGCGATCATCTGTTAATATCTACCTACCTATCTATCGATCGATAATGTCAAATTATTCATATCTACCTATACATTTCTCCGAGTCTGTTAATATCTATCTATCTATCTATCTATCTATCTATCTATCTGAGTCTGTTAAAATCTATCTATTTATATTCAATGTTAGAGTTGCTCTCAAAGACGCTTGCCGAATCTGAGCATAAGAATAATTACGGGCTCAAACACAATTTTTCCACTGTGAAAGTCCAATTCCGAAATCTCCCTCATAGAATCTATGCTAATTAGATAACAAATGCTCCTACTCACAAAGAATAACGTAAAATGTCAGTGATATATTCAATTTGTTACCCGAATTAAAACAAGGGATCATATGTGTCTTTGTGTCATGGCATTGGCTTGCACTGGACTCTTGTACCTCATTCAAACGTTTCGCTGCATGCACCACAGACTAAAGCTCAAAGAAAAACACTTAGATGAATGTTGCTATGTCCAAAGTTGACGGGAATCATTGAAGATTTTTATCAGATTATCTGAAAAGCCCAGTCAAAATTGACACCGTCTTCACAGGGTTTATTTTTCTGCCACAATATATATCTTAAACAAATAGTAAGATTAAAAGCTAGAACTTAAAATACGCTGAAGGCTTAAAATATCAAATAAACTGATGGCTTTATGCTAAAGATGACAGAGCCTAAATATAATATAATATAAAATTATATGTGTATAAATACAATATGGAAACCACTAATAAAAAGAAATGACAAATGGCAGCAAGTTATCCATCGCAGTAGCAGCAGCAGTCAAAACATGGACAGCAGCAGAAGCAGTTGCAATCTAATCAGCAAGTAGGTTATGTTTAAAGCTCCAAGTTCATTACATCGAATTGTACTTCGGGACAATTTTATATCTAAAAAGACTAGATTTAACTGTAGGTTTTGTTCGAACAGTTTCTTCACACACACTTCTCTTCCGGCCTCCTGCTTTCTAGTCAACTTTTTTCTTCAAATATTTAAATACAATGTCAATCATTATCTTCTGTCTACTTAATGCCGTTTCTATTATTGTTGTCTCTCATTAATAATGTTTCTTTATTTCTCATATTCTTTCACACTTCGTAAATTAATTCCTTACGTTTTGATCACTTGGGGTAAAATAATTATATATACGCTACCCGCTAAAACTTTGGCGCCACCCTGCATTTCTTTAAAAAAAAAACAAAAAAAAAAACACCTTAAAATGAGATATTTTTGTATTTTTTTAAAAGTAGAAGTAGCTTTTATTTATCAGTCGTTCTCTAAGCTCATGTTACTACCAAAAAGATGAAATTTGGATTTATCTGTCCATAATATATTTTACTAAATTATGACTATTTTCTATAAGAAATATATTTCGTTTTTATCATTGATCCGTCAGTAGACTTTTAATCGATGCGAAATGTTAATAAACGTTTCAAATGTTGACTCAACACTGACTAGTTGTAAAGAAAACATGTGTAGCTGTTTCTGTTCAAAGAAAAAACAGTCGTTCTATTACGACATTTTCATTTTTTATTTACGATTTTTTATTTATAAATTAATTTTTACGTATTTTGAACATAATGGCAAAATCAAATTTTATTTAAAGAAGTTTACTCTGAAAGCTAAATTGCCAAGAAGCTGAAGATTTCTAGACAATCGATGCAATATTCGTGAAAAGGGCATTTAGAAACTGATGCAAATGTTGACAGAAAAAGAGTTGAAGCACCAAGAGTGACAACTGCTGCTGAAGATAAACATTTGATTATTGAAAGCAAAAGAAATAAAAGGAAAAACGCTCTTCTATTGACAGCTGAACATAATTCCTCTCACAGCTCAACAGCAACCAGTGTCGCTCTCAACTGGGAAAAGTCGACTTAGATTAGCATAGCCATCAGGAAATCCCTGTTTTTGTTTTCTTTTTATGTGCCACGTCTCTCCACCTCTCTCTATCCCTTCTAGCTCTCAACAAGTTCCTTCCCTCTGCTTCCTCCCTCGGACCACGTTTTGTCATCCACTTGCTTAAATCCGCCAGGCGTTGTTTCCCCTTGTCTCTCTTTCCCACTACTCGACCTGTGAGTATCATATTCTCCAGACCCTCCTTCCTCATTCAGCTGCCAACTCCTGATATTTAGTATGTCTCCTCCTTGTTTGCAACCTCACTAAGATCTCATCCTTGCTCACACGCTCGGCCCATGATATCTTCAGCATTCTTCTGTAGAACCACATCTCTGTCACCTCGATTCTCTTCTTCATCTTTGAGGATATCGTTCAACATTCGCTGCCGTAAAGAAGGACAGATGTCACATAACAGTTCAGTATTCTTTTCTTTGTTACCAAAGATATCCCCCTGTATCGCAATACTCTGCCCAGCTTTTGGGATGCGTCCTTTGCCATCGCAATAAGCCTGCGAATCTACGTGTTGCACTTACCGTCCTCTGTCAAGACGCTTCCCAGTTATTTAAACTTCCGAGTCTGCTTGATTCTAGTCTTCCCGACCTTCAGATCGCATTTCGGGATCATCCTCTTACTGACGACCATGCATTTCGTCTTCTTGTATTTTATGCTTAGTCCCTTCTTCTCACCTTCTGTAGGAGATTTTGTAATTTCATTTCTGTGTCTGCTGTCAGTGTTATTGAAGGTGAATAAACAGAAAAGGGTGGTATGGGCAAGAAGCACAAGAACTGAACATTGAAAAAGTGGCAAAATGTGTTGTGAACAGAACAGTCCAAATTTGAACATTTTGGTAAAAAGTTGAGAGTGTATGTGAGGAGAAAGCGAGGAGAAAAACTAAATGATGAATGTGTGGTACCAAGAGTCAAGCATGGTGGTTTTGTTATGTTGTGGGGTGCTTTGTGGAAGAGAAAGAGCTGCAGATTTGATTCAGGTGAAGGGGATGATGAAAAAAGAAGAATATCTTTTGATTTTGCAAAGACATGCTATACCAGCTGGTTTATACAGAATTGGGAAAAATCACATTTTTAATAAGACAACAGTCTAAAACTCTTTTAAATTATGTCAAAATAACCTTGACTAAAAATAAAAGGAACAACATTTTGGAAATGATTTGGCCACTTCACTCACCTAACATATCCCCTACTGAATTAGTATGTGATAAATTGAATAGAATAATTGGAAGAGAATACCCAAAGCGTGGGAGTGAGATTTTTAAATGCTTAAAGAATGCTTGGAAAAGAATTCCAAAAATCTGTAAAGAAGTAATTAAGACAGGTTATGATTTTATTGACGAAAACAGAATATAATTCTTTGTAGCTCTAAGGAACATTTGTCCACTTCATTTTCCGTCCCTTATTTACCATTCATTTACACAAACTAGGTAGTTTATTGAGTGTATACTTCGACACCTCTTTCTTCAAGTAATAAAAAATATTTTTCACTTCACTCCAATAAATATTTATGTTTTCTGGGTCAGCGAATTAAATTTTAGCATAAATATTAAATATACAGATATGGCAGGTTATGTAAGGTACAACATTTTTGTGGAAATAGATTGCTGTAAATGAAGATTTTGATATTCTCGCGAGAAATAATAAAGGAAGTTAGGAAAGAAGAAGAAGAAGAAGAAGAAGAAGAGAAGAAGAAGAAGAAGAAGAAGAAGAAGAAGAAGAAGAAGAAAATCGACAACATGAGAAAAACATTATAAAAGCACTTAAAGAAAATATAAAAAAGTGAAAAGAAGAAGAAAAATAAAAATAAAATCGAAAATATAAAAACATCGTAAAAGCACTGAAACAAAATGTAGAAAAGTGAGAAGAAGAAGTAAAAGAAGAAGAAGAAGAAGAAGAAGAAGAAGAAGAAGAAGAAGTAGAAAAAGAAGTCTGTTGAAAAGAAAATCGACAATATGATAAAAAACCATCTTAAAGGGACTTAAAATATAGAAAAATGAGAAGAAGGTGGGGAGGAGTAGAGAATGAAGAAGAAGTCTGTTGAGAAGAAAATCGACACTATAATATAAATCAACGTAAAGGGACTTAAAAAAAAATATAGAAAAATAAGGAGGAGGAGGAAGAGAAGAAGGGGAGGAAGAGTGGGGAATGAAGAAATCTTTTGAGAAGAAAATCGACAATATGATAAAAAACATCGTAAAAGCACTTAAACAAAATATAGAAAAGTAAAACAATATAAAAGGAGAAGAATAAGAATATAAGAGAAGAATGAAAAAGTGAAAAGAATAAAAGCAATAGAAGAATTTTGATAGGAAAGTGAGAAACGAAAAGTGGGAAAAATAAAATTATTAAATATAAAAATGTATGCGAAAAGAATGAAAGATAAGAAAGAAAGAAAGTAAAGAAGAAAGATATGGGAAGAAAGAAAAAAAGAAGAAAGATATGGGAGAAAAGAAAAAAGAAAAAAGGAAAAAACTAACAAGGAAAAAATATAAGTAACGAAAGAAAGAAAGATGGATAAGAAAAAGAAAGCAAAAAAGATATGTAAGTAAAGAAGGAAACAAAGAATAAAGAAAGGTATGTAAGTAACGAAAAAAAGAAAGAAAATTAAAAAAAAGAGTGTGACAAGGAATATATGTAAGTGAAGAACGAAAGAAAAACAGAAAGTAAAAAGAAAGATATGTAAGTATAGAAAGAAAAAAACAAAGAAAGAAAAAAGAAAGAAAGAAAAATAAGAAAGTAAAAAAAATTTAAGAAAGAAAAAAAAGAAAGAAAGTAAAAAGAAAGATATGTAAATAAGGAAAGAAAGAAACAAACAAACAAACAAAAAGTAAAAAGAAAGATATGTAAGTAAGGACAGAAAAAAGAAAGATATATATGTAAGGAAAGAAAGATATCTAAGTAACGAAAATGAAAAAGAATAATATGTCAGTAACGAAAGAAAGAAAGAAAGAAAGAAAGAAAGAAAGAAATATAAGTAAAAGAAAGTAAAAGAAAGAAATATAAGTAAAAAGAACGTAAAGAAGGAAAGGAAGGAAGAAAGAAAAAGAAATTAAGAAAGAAAGAAAAAAGAAAGAAAGGCAGAAAAGAGAAAAACGTATAAAGAGAAAGTAAAAAAAAGAAAGATATGTAAGTAAAAACAGAAAGAAAAGGACCAATCTATGAAAAAACAACTTGAGGTAGTTTAATTCTTTTGGAAATGTAAAAATGAGTTACAAGTTAACAGTTTAAGAATAAAAGAAATCAAATTTAAATTGAAAAATAGAAAAATGATAGCGAGAAGATATTGAGCGAAGAAGATAAAAAAAATTGATGATGTTATTGAGAACTGGACTTACAGGTGCAAGAGATAAGTAAAATATGAAAGAATTCGTAGCAAATGATACGTATGGTCGGAATAAAAGTATAACTAAGCCAAGAAAAAGCATATTAAAAACGAACATTTGTTTTTTTTTCCTCTTTTGTTCTTTTGTCTTTCCTTTATTTTTTGTTTTGCCATAACATCAAATGAAGTTGAACATCAAAGAATGTTACTAACCATTCAGGCGGTTTCTTATAGGCAGACAAAGTTCATTCGAGCTCAGCGTACGAACTGCTTCCGATCTTCGTAAAAAAGATCATAAATCAAATTTTCACAAAGAAAAGTAGCTGTTAAAGTTATTGCAACTTCTAGACAAATCTCTGACTTTGAAACGAGAACATGTTTTGCTCGTAAGGGAATAGATGTTGGAAGACTGTTCAGATTGTTATAGATGTGGAACGCGTATACTTTTGGATTTCTAAAATCAGGATTTTCTCTGCAAATGAATAAATTCTATCGAAATGAAGTTCCACTAATCGAATTCTACCGCCTTATATAATCAATAATCTGGCGGAAAGAAATCAGTAAACAGAACGGTCAGCAAGGGACACATTAACGGGTGAGGGAAGAAAAGAAGAAAGAAGGGAGGAATTTGATTTAAAAAAAAAACGTGAATGGAGTTAAGGAAAAGAAAGGATATAGTTGTAAGTAAACAATGTATACGAAAATATAAGTATAACGAAAGGAAAAGAAAGATAGAAAGAAAGAAAACCATGAGAATATATGACGTCCCAAAAGATTGACATCATTTTCTAGTCTCATAACATAGCCAGTTCTCGTTGAAATGATCTCAAATTTTAACAAAATGTATAAAAACTAAGATGACTGTGTGGATTTATATCGTTGTGATTCTACTAGGAAGATGAATTGGACGTGCCAGTGACAAGGATAGTGTATTGTTGAAATGGCCACCATGTTCACGTGCCATAACACCTTGTTTTTGTTTTTCTTTCTGTTGGGCTATATAAAATGACAGGTATATATCCCCACTCTTTCTTCAAGCCTAGAAGGAACTTAAGCAAAGAGTCACTGAGGCGTTGGAGAATGTTACGCATTACATGCTACATCGTGTTTGGCAGCAGCTGGACTACCGACGTGTGTCGTGTAACAAGTGGTGCGTATATTGAACATTTATGAAGCTTTGTGAAATCGATTATAAATCCTACATCCCTCTATATATCTTGTTCGAATTTTGATAAATGAATGTTTTATTGGTCAACATGAAGTCGATTTAATTTCGTTTGTCTGTGATATGCAGTTATTCAGATATTCACAATTTAATTAAGGTCTGTTTTTTTTAGTGGGGAACACCGTGTATAAAGCGAAAAAGAAATAATAATTAATCGATTGATTCATTTTCTTCGGCTTTTCAAACCTTTTTATGTTATTTAATACTAGGAAATATTTTAGATTGTAAAAGAAATTATTTTTCGAAACAATAATGATTTACTGATACAAATTTTACTAATTAACGCATACTTGAGGGGGGTGGTGTCATACCTTTCCCGAGGGTATTTGCGCATGAATATGACGCACCAAACTGTAATTGGGACACGGCTCTCCGATTGACAATTCTGAGCCGTTATCCATTACACCACCCGCATATCTAAATTTACAGAATCTGTTATTCCCAAGCGGCCACCTGTTATGATCCGGTTCCTTGTACCACGGTGTTAGTCCAAAGTAGAACCAATAAAGAAGAACTCGAACACGTATATGGAATAACACTGATATATTACAAACAGGAATATATACAGAGAGGTAGAAAGTGTTAGTACGAACAATCAGATTTAGTAATAATTGTGTGAACGCGACTCTTTTTCGGACTGCCTCTGACTCGACTGACTGACTCGCTCCTGACTGACTGACGGACTTCTGACGGACCTCACTCCAGACTTCAGACTGAACAGTATTTAGTCACCCCGCTCCTTACGAGGGCATCATGTGGTACAAGGCCGGTTTAACGTGGGATCTCCGAGCCCGTGGACTCGGCCAGAAATATGCCCTTTGAACCTGTATAAACGGGTTCAGGGTCGGTTTACCTCCCCGAAAGAGACTCCGCCCTTCGGCGTAGCCTCGTTCGGGTTCCTCCCCGCCCGAAGGCAGAGAGTTCAACCGATCAGCCGGTCGCCCGACTTCGGACTGAACGATATTCAGTCACCCCCCCCCACACGAGGGCGTCATGTAGCACAAGGCCTTTTTAACGTGGGAACTCCGAACCAAAAAGTGAACAGTTCAATTTCCAGTAGCCAGCCAATCTAACCTTAAGCTTATCTAAGTTTACACGGACCCGGACAAGCCTATGATCCGTATAAACTATATAATGGAAACTTGGACACCCTAAGAGCCCTACATCGACTCTCCTAACTAAGGTCCAGGTAGCTCGCAAGCGTCCCAGGATCCGAGTTGCCACTAGTTGTCCAAGACCATGCTACCTCCCGAGGGTGTTCATTACGGAACTTATCGACAAGATCAAACCCATCGATAAAGTCCCAAAATGGTTTCACGTCCGGGTTGTTAGTACCTTGTTTTTGCCCTATACGATCTATATCGGGGTCAAGGACGGCATTCCAATACCCCGCTAAAACTACCCGACGAGACGTCGTCAAGAACGGCGCGATCTGCCGAAACAAAGCAGGCCGCTCGGAATGGGTATTGGGCGCATAAACCCCAATGAGACGTAGAACCTTATCCTTTATAGTAACATCCAGCACGCAAAGCCTGCCCGCCAGATCCGCGAAGACAAGGGTACATGCAGCCTTCAAACCACCCCTCGAACCACCATCAAAACATGCTGAATAAAGGGCGAACCCCATAGACAGTATGTCCTCACAATCATGAGAAGAAAACCGGGTCTCTTGTACACAACATACAGGCGCTGAAGGTCACGAGAGAGCCTCGCCCTGCGAGACTCGGACCTCAGGCCCCGGGCATTCAAAGTAGCTAACCAGAGTGCCATTGTCAAATCGATTAGGGTTGTCCTTCAGGATAGACCATGGCTGGGGTGAGGACATATCGCATATATAGTACAGGTGTTAATGAAACAGTGCTCAATTTAAAGAAACAGAACAAATATTAATAAATGTGCATACTATCTCACATCTCTAGCACGACTGAGTTTCATATATGATGCAATCTTCGAGTACTGAGCTCAAATTGGCTTTTTAACAATTTGAAACAAAATATATCTGACTATCACGACGCTGATGTCATGATACTTAATTTTACGGTTGCTGGACATTAAGCCATTTTTCTCGACCACTGTTCAACCAGTGGTAGAGAAATTACGTCATTTTTCACGACTACCGTTAATGCGGTAGTCAGAGCTCAAAGGGTTATGAGCTTATTTGGGGCAGTGTATTTAAGGAGATGTTTATTTTTGTGTCTGCTAGTAGTAATTAATTAACTTCTCTAGTTCAATAAATTAGGGTTGTTTTTTTTAGAATAACAAGTTTTTAAGCTGAACAAAGACAATTGTCGCCTCGTCCGTTAAAAAGCTTAGCCCTAGAAACAATTTTCGAGTTAATGCATATATATATATATATATATATATATATATATATATATATATATAAAGGAAATGTGGTTCATGTGCGCTTCTTTTAACTTGTAGATATAATCGGCCGGTTAATAAAACATGAAGAATAAAAAGTCAACAAAATTATACCAATATTATCAATAAAACTGATATTTATTACATATTAAACTATTGACTGAATTGAAGTAAGAAGAGATAGGTTTTAATGTCGGGATTTTCTCAATCGTCTGTGTTCTTTTTCAACGATAGGAGGAATAAACAAAGGACAGAGACTTACTCTTCCGAGATATGTTGGGCTTAGAGATTTCACTGTGGAGATTATGCTCTCTGAGTAAATCCAAACCGCTGTGTGAATTTATTTATTTATGTGTCTTTCTTCTCGGCTGTTGACGGTAAAAACATGCATCTGATGTCATCGACGCTATGAAATAGTTGCTTGAAGTGTGCAGCAACAGGGAAATTAGGGTTGTTTTTTTTTAGAATATATAGTATATATGTTCAACTTAAAGTACAACCGTTTATAATGACATGAGAAGAATCAGAAACTACAGATCTCTTTCGAAATTGTATATTTCAGCATATTTACTCTGAATTATATACACACACACACATATGTATCGCTTCAAATGTTATTATTAATGGATACTCGTATTTGAAATAGAGGCCCTATATGAATTGTTATGCATTACGTCTACCTGTGCAGTCGAAAAATCTTAATAAAGAAAATTAACTAAGGCAGGAATCTAACTTGCGTGCCCCTTGAACTGGCGTCGCCCTTTCTAAGAGAAACCACCGTTTTATCCGGCATGCATTACCGTTCGGACACGAAAGGCGTCACATGACACGATGGCTTTATCATATACTCTGTAGAAAGTGGGCTTTCCTTTTAAACGTGAAGTACACGTGGGCTTTACTGCGTGATTATCATATGCATGCATAAATACACAGATACACACACATACACATATATATGAATGGATATATATATATATATATATATATATATATATATATATATATAGCTCCATTCATGTCTATAGATATTAACTTTTTTCTCTATCTTTTGTATCTATCGTTATACATACATACGTATATATACATACATACACACAAACACACACACACACACACACACACATATATATATATATATATATATATATATATATATATATATATATATGCATGTATGTATGCGTAGGATAAAAAATATACATACACGCACGTAAAATTACACGAACGTATGAATATATTTCTTCCACAGATGTTATAAATACATTTCTCAATGTTATAAGACAGAGCTATAAATATATATTAGTTAATATACATAATATTTAACATCGATAGCACGACTCAGATTTTCATGCAGTTGCCGCCATCTTGAAGATTGCAGCGACTGCTTGAAAATCTGAGTCGTGCTATTGACGTTGGATATTATATATATATATATAGCTTATTCCAACACAGAACCAAATATCTGGGATACTTTATGTTTGAAATAGTTGAATGTATTCCATCGACAGCCGTATACAATGGTTAATAATAGATAACAGGGATAAGCCATGGATGTAAAAATATTGGTTGCCAATCAAGACAGTTGTCATTTAATTTCCCTAATGAATAAATAAAACTCTCAAAAATTACATATGGAAAAAGGGTTTAATTACAAAAAAATCGAGGTGGAATGTACTTCTTAGTAATTACAGTGTACCTGTATTTTTCACAGTATTTACATTAGTCGGACTATTGTCCTCATCTTTGTCGCCATATTTGTCACAACGTTTCGGCCGTTGTACGCTCCGGCCTTCTTCAGGTGGTTGGAATGTCGAACTGAACCCTTTATTTCGATCACTGGGGTAGACTGTTCTAGTTCCACGTGCCATGTTTGATGGATGTCAGTTATCAGTTATCTCCTGCTAATTTCCCTCAGAAAGTTCTCCACTGCCTTAACCAGGTATTGAACTCACGCTCTTTGGGTCCTGTCAGTGAGCGAAATAAAGGGTTCAGTTCGAAACTCCAACCACCTGAAGAAGGCCGGAGCGTAAAACGGCCGAAACGCTGTGATAGATATGGCGACAAAGATGAGGACAATAGTCCAAATAATGTAAATAATGTATATAATACCTCATCTCAGAAATATAGACAGACTCTGTAATTTTCATATTGCTGGTAGTAGA